CTGCAGAGAGCCTCCTCCTCAAGGCAATGTCCAGCATAGGCAGGGGAGCAGCACCACCCATAAGATTCCAGACTGGCAGAGTTCTTGGTGTGCAATTCCAGCCAAGGAAAGCCACAAGCATGAAACTTCAAGCCATGAGAGCTTCCAATGGACTATACCCAGTGAAGCTGTGGGGACAGGGCTACCTGGAGCCTTGAGGACCTGTTAGGCAGGAAGTCAGACATGAGCTTACGTGTGTGTGACATAAAGGCCTAAAGAGTTGACATCTAGGTCCAGCATATGCATCTCAAAGTCATCCCGATAACGTTTCAGGAGCAGCCCAGGATTTGGATCCTGCCCTGCACCTTCTTCTCATAACCTGCCAGGTGGGGGTCCCCGCCCCTTCTGCCTGATAATCTTCCAGGTGCAGCCCAGCATCTGTACTTCAAATGCGCCTAGCCCCTTCTACCCCATAACCATCTTTCCTCTAAGGCTCCTCTAAGGCGGGGCAATGCCAGCCAGGCTTCCTCCTGTCTGATAACTTCAGGAGGAAAGCTCAGATAGGAGTTTTTCTATTTACATCCAAGAAGTCCTTTGTTCCAAGAGGAGCAGAGGTAGGGAGGCGAGACCCATCCCCTTAACCCCCGCCCCGGCTTCAACTGGACTGCGTGCTCAGCCCTCTACCTCTTTGCTGAGCCGCCCACCTGGCCTGCCCAGGTGTACTCTCTCCACTCAACCATGTAACCCCGCTCTCCCCCAGTCCGAGCAACTGGGCACTCTCTCTCAGCTTCTGTGTGGAGAGGTGCCCATCCATGCTTACGGATGTCCCTTCCCTAATAAACCTTGCTATTTTACTTTCCACTACTCAAAGTCTCACACCTGAATTCTTTCTGGTGCGAAGACAAGAACCCTGCCATTCACCAGTAACAGACCCGATCCTCACCCCAAGTCCTACAGGTGGGACATAAAATCAATTACTCTCCAACCATAAGATTTAATGTTGTTTGTCAGGTGTTGGACTTATCTCAGACCTGTTATCCCTCCTTTTCTATTTTTTTAAGATTTATTTATTTATTTATTTATTTGAAAGAGTTACGCAGAGAGAGGAGAGGCAAAGACAGAGACAGAGAGAGAGGTCCTCTGTCCAGTGGTTCACTCCCCAGATGGCCGCAGCCGGAGCTGCGCTGATCCGAGCCAGGAGCCAGGACCTTCTTCCTGGTCTCCCACATGGGTGCAAGGGCCCAGGGACCTGGGCCATCCTCTACTGCTTTCCCAGGCCACAGCAGAGAACTGGATTGGAAGTGGAGCAGCCAGGTCTCGAACCAGTGCCCATATGGAATGCCGGTGCTTCAGGCCAAGGCGTTAACCCGCTGTGCCACAGCACCGGCCCCTCTTTTTTCTTTTTAAAGAGAGACAGAAACAGGCAGAGAGCTCTCATCTGCTGACTCACTCTCCCAAATGCCTGCAATATCTGGGGCTGGTTAAAGGATCCCTGGAAAGGAACTCAATCCAGGATTCTTCCATGGATGGCAGAGACCCAGCGACTTCAGCCATCACCTGCTGCCTCCTGGAGTGTACATTAGCAGGAAGCTGGAATTGGGAACAGATCCAGGACTCAAACCCAGGCATTCCCATATGAGATGTAGACATTCCAAATGGTGTCTTAACCACTGGCCAAATACCCCTGCCTCCCCCTTCTTACTTTCTAATTCTCCCTTTTGGAATGCAAGTGTTTAGCCTATGCTTGTCCCACAACTGTTCTTTGGAAGCATACAACTTGTCTGATTTCACAGGCTTATATCTGGAATGGAATTTGTCTCACGGTAAACCACACCTTTGGGTTTCACCCATATCTTACTTGGATGGGACTCTGGACTTTGACTTTTGAGTTGAGTTGATACTGGAATGCATCAAGACTTATGAGGCTACTGGAATGGAGTGAATGAATCTTACAGGTGAAACAAACATGAAATTAGAGTGGCTGGGGCAATGCTACAGTCTAAATGTGTACCTTCCAAATTTCATGTCAAAATCTAATTCCCACTGTGAGGTAGGCAGGCAGGCATACATGTTGTAGTAACTCTGGAAGCCGTTTTCTCCCCCTTCTCCCACAGTGTGATTATTTCACATTGCTTACATGTCTCTGTGCCAGGATCAGCCTGAGGTGAAAGTTTAAGTTAAGGAGGGGAGGTGGTTTTCTAAGTCCTCACACATACACAGTTTTTTGTGAATGTAAAAACAGAACAAAACAATCACGGGTGCAGGTCCTTTAAATGCTCTGAAAACTGCCTTAATGGGCATGAAACAACAGCAAATAATTTTGGCACCTGGTTGATCCACCAACTTCTCTGACATCACCCTAGAACGAGCCTTCCAACATGTCCCTAAAATTACTATGCCCAGATGCCTCCCGTTCATCTTCAGTTCCAGGTAAAATGTACCTTCGCATTTCCCAAGGCCTTTCCCCTTTTTTGTGGAGAGTGGGGAGCAAGGCTTAGCCCCTTTCCTTCTACCTTTAGCTTTTCTTATATTCATCAACTTTTCTTAAGTCCCCCTTTTGAGAATTCCATTTTTTCCTAATCCCCTATATAAAATATTGCTGCTAGATTAGCATTCCTAAGTTTTCCCTTCCCTCCTCAAAAATCAGTACTTCTCCACTGCCTGTCAAATGAGATCCATTACTCAGGAGAACTGAGAACACTCAGAGCAGCCGCCAATCCATCTTCCCAGCTGTTTCACCAGATACCATCACACAGCTATCAAAAGGATGATAGCAACTGACAGAAACGTGCACCATGCACAGGCAAAGGATACAAATCCAACCTCTGCATGGACAGTCAAGTTTCGTTGACCTTAAAATTCCCCAAAAAGGTACCTTACTGCCAAAGACACTGCGTAACTGTGGGGCTCCATGGGATGTGCAGCCATGGAGCCCCCATGTCAAGGTCGGTCTGATAGCCGTTGCTGTGTTTTTATCACAAGGCGGATATTGCTAGTTTCAGTTAGGGCAATGCTTTCCCACGGTCGGGACTTTCCAGAGGCACTGAGCCTGTCTCGTAAACAACAAGATGGCGCCGAGGACCGCGCAGTGAGCCTGCCTGCTGCGTGACACCTCATCTGATTGGCCCGAGGACGCGTGCACACTGCATGATCAAGCAGCTGATTGGAGTGTTCCGTGCATGGACTTGAGCTTGCTTGTAATTGGCTAGATTTTGTATATAAGCTGTGTGCTGAGGAAGGAGGGGGCTTTTTTTCATCTCCTCTCTTCCTCCCTCCATTCTTTCTCTGTCGCTGTTATTTTCTCATTAAAAGTCTACTGAAGACCGATAAGCTGCGAGCAACGTCGTTCCTTTGCGGGCAAGGGAGTGACAGTAACTGCACTGGGTACTCTAGCCACAGTACTCCAGCCAAGTACTTTGCAAAGTTCTTGCCATTCAGGGTAGCAGGAATTTGCATAGCCCTACACACCCCACGCTCTGGATACCATCTCAAGAAGGCTACCTACTTTAGAATATTAAATAAGTACTCAAAGCTCTAATGCTTTCACGAGGACTTGGTGTGAGAGTGAATTGAAGCTGTTTCCCAGATTGCATATCCTTCAGAGTTCTAGACTTGCAATTTGCCTGAGTTGTTTCTGCACGAATAGATCAGACAAGCAGGACTCCTCCCTTCAAGCATTTCCCACCTGCTCTTTGGGTGCCTTTCTCTTCCTTTGCCTGAAATATCTTATCTTGCAGGCACTTAAGGAGTGAACCAGTGGATGGAAGGCATCTCTCTCTCTGTCTCTCCCTCTGTCACTATGCTTTTCGAATAAATAAATAAATCTTTCCATTCACATATATCCTTACTAGCCCAACTCAAATGATTCATTTTCCATAAGCTCCTTCCTGACTCTGTTCCCTTTCCTCCAACTGGATGTGACACAAATGTGAGAATCCACCAGCACTTGATGGACTGCTTTTACTACTGTGCATTGGACAGATAAATACCAACTTCATTTTTCTCAATAGCTTGAGATCTCCTTGCAGGATGATTTTTAAATCCATCTTGTGTCCCCTATAGTGGCTAAGATAAAAACCTTGCAAGTGGCAATCTTGCAATAACTGATTCTTTGAAGCGTACTGTGGAACTGTATACTACAACTGTTTCCCTCACCCCATTTCTCCCATTTTAGGTTCCTCTTAACAGCCAGACCACTACTACCACCACCACGATTAGGGAAATAATCCAACCCTGATACAAGCGCAGTTGAGAATAACCAGCTGCTCTTGCAGATTGATACCAGCTGTAACTGACTGGACGGAGACTCAGTGACTAATATAGCTCTTATCAAGAAACTCCAAGTCTCAATCCAGCTGTAGCCAGCCTAACAAGTCTGCATACAAGCCACAGTTCTGCCTTCCACTTCACATTTTCACACAGAAATCCCAACCCACCTTCATTATAATGCTTATATTTCCATCTCCAACCAGACATGGGGCTATGGTAATATATATGATGATTTTGTGGGCATGCATATGTATCTCTATTGAACATGCATAACTCTTCCCCAAAATGATATAGGGACTATCTATAATTCCCTAAAAGGCACCCCTATAAAACCTGTAACTCCTGGATTTACAGGGAGCCTAGTTTTGGTTACCAAATCACATGGCTTTTAGCTTTTGCAACCCAAAAACTTCTCCTATAGCACAAACCATTATCTTCATGTTTCTATTTGCATACATGCTGCAGAACTCACAGGTATTCTACCTGATTATGCTCTGACCCACTTAGAAGTCAATCTTAAATTGGCTCTATTCAATTTTTGGCTCTGATATTTAACAAATATGTGCCAAGAGAGAGTTCCTCTCATCTCCAGGTGTTGATGTTCTCATTTGTAGAATAAGACTGAACGCTGACAACAGTAATCAGATAAGAAAATACAGAATCACTTCTCCACTCAACAAATATCTATAGAGCAGTTACTGTGCACAGGCCAGCATGCTAGGTAGGTCTTGAATATACAGCAGCAAACAAACCTTTAAGGGGCTGATTCTGGCACCAGTGCTCATACTGCCTCAGGTAAACTGATGATACACATCTCATCCCAGCTCTTCATTAAGTGAACTTAGGTTGGTAGCTTGGTACAAGGACAATCTGTTTAAAACATGGAAATTGTCAAAGCCTATTTTTCCTTAGAGTGCCAATCAACAAGCACACTACTGAGACAGACAGATTTAATAAATGATAAACAAAGGCATGAGACTATGTCACATTAGAGAAACCATAAACTTAAGAGGTTACTTTACACATGATAGTCAAGGAGGGCCGTTTAAAATAAAGTGAAAGAAGGAGTTGAGGACTGAGCAATCAAAAGAAACCAGTCCTGTGAAGAGATAGGGAAAGAACATTTCAGGAAGAAATAGCAAGAAGTGCAAAGGACTTAAGGGATACCCTAGGACAGGTAGGGTGCCACCAGGGATGGAGAAGAGCTCTTGCAGTACAGATTGGTTAGAATCTCGGTCTGCCACTTGCTAGCAGCACAATTCTGTCAGGTTATTAATTTCCTGAACCCTTAATTTTCTCCCCAGGAAACAAGAGTACTACTGCTTCATAGGTTGCATGCATGAAGGCATTAACACAGCAGGACTCAAACTAAACAGCACCTGCTTGCAAGGTAGGCCTTTGGGAGGTATCTGGGAACTTGGCTCTCAGGGTAGAACCAGTCAACACTTAAACCAATAGGGTAATTCATTATATCTTGACTATTTGTATAAACAATACGATTTATGGTGAATATCTTCTTTCCTTCCAGAAGTCTGGAATATTCTAATATTTGTTTATTTGAGAGCGGGAGAGAGAGAGAGAGAGAGAGAGGGAATATGAATGAACCTTCTATTCTCTGGTTCACAGATGGCTCCATCAGCCAGGTCTGGGCCAGGTAGAAGCCAAGAGCTGGGAACTCCATCATGGTCTCCACACTGAGGCAGGGACCCAAGTACTTGCACTTATTTTGCTGCCTTCATAGGTGCATTAGCAAGAAGCCAATGGGAAGCAGACTAGCTAGGACTCAAACCAGCACTCCAATATGGGATGCAAGTGGTGGCTTACCCTGCTCGCCACAATGCTGGCAACAGAATTCTGGAATTTTGATATGTGCTACACAGAAGATAATTTCATGACCAATCCTCCAATAAAACCTGGGGTACTGGCTCTCTAAGGGGCTTTTCTGGGCAGAACATGGCATATATGCTGCTGCATTTTCACTTTTAGGAGAATGAGCTCTGCGTGAGCCCTTGTGGGAAGGGGAAAGCATTTGGAAACCTGCACATGAATTCCTACAGACTCTTTTTCCCCTTATGACCTGGTTATGCATCCTTACTATACAGCTGCAATCCATCTTTGTCATGACCACAATCATATGCTGAGTAACGCAATTCCCAGGAAATTTCTGAATTTTGGGGTGGTCTTAGGGCTCCCTGACATTCCCAGGTTGATACAAAGATTAGGTTACATAGTGCATGGAAAGCATTTGGCCTAATACTTAGCTCAATAAATAAATGAGGTGATGGTCTTGGTGGCAAGGGGGAATGACCGGCATGTAATAACCATGACCAGGCTAGGAGTTCAGTGTCAACTGATCATTCCAGTTCCCACCCTACCCCTCCATCCTTTTGCCCTCATCTCTCTTAGTCCCACAGTGAATGTGCCACCCAAACTCTTTATAAGACCATCTCACTGTTGGCAAGAACCTCAGATTCAGCCTCCTGCTTTGCCATCTCAGAATAGTGAGAATGTTCTGGATCGTGTCAAGAGTCGGTGACAGAACTGACAGAAGGACCCGGTTTGCCTTCTAACTCCTATGCTGGCGTCACTGTCACCTGGCATACGTGACACAGCATGGGGGACACAGCGAGCTTGCAAGCCAGGCTGTCAAGAATTCCGCTGCACGGAAGGATTCTCTTCTCTTCCTTGGTTGGGGGTGGGGGAGAAGGAACACAGAAAGCTAGGAAGGAAAAGCTGCCGCGAATAAACCCAAACCTAAGGTCAAAGACGACCCGATCTAGAAGCAGGATGACAGTTCTCCCCCGCCTTCTCCACGACGCAGTGGGTCGCTATCATCCAGTTAGGGTGGAAGGGCAAATAAACCCCTCGAGAAAACAAAAAACTCAGCAAGAGCGGGTGCATCAGGACTCGGGAACCCACGGCAGACACACAGAATCTTCAAGTCACTGCCCGGGTGCCCAAAATGCTGGGCCATATACAGAACAGCGCACGTCAGACGGGACCAGAGGCTCACTGGGGTCATCCCTCTGCCCACTGGAAATGTGTGATGAGGTGAGCAAAACAGGGGCACCCAAAAATGCTTAACGCTGCTTAGGCGATGAAAACAACCAAGGGTGAGTACGGGCCAACGTGGTGACTTGGCTCGGCGCGCTCTCGGGCACAGCGGCGGTGGGAGGGCAGCGGGCAGCACCCTCCTCCTCGCCTGCGACCCTCACTCCCTCACTGACACTGCCGGAGACCCACACCCACCTCTCCTGGGAGGGAGCCCAGGCGAACACTGCGCAGACGCCACCGCACACCCTCGCACGGCGCGTGCCCAGTGACGCCGTCGCGAAGGGCTGCGGGGCCGGAAGTGCGTCACTCCCTTTCCGGCAGCCGGGCCCGCACCCTCTCTAGCCTGCCCGGAGGCCGCTTCTGCATGTCTTTGGTCTTTCTTCCCCTCAGCCTTCAGCCCTGCCCAGGTGCTGACGCTGAAGCGCTGGTCTCCAGAGCCGGTAGCGCTGGGACGGTCACTTTCGAGGGGAAAGGCCAGCCTCTGGTCGAGGAATAGGCAGTATTCTCATCCGGGCAGCTCTCTTCGTGGCCCCAGTGGGCTGGGGCAGGACACAGCTGGGCTGGACCGGCCGCGGGAGAGGAAGGGGTTCGGTGCCGCGTGCCCACTCACCACGTGATCGCCGCGTCCTTGCTGACTCCCCCCAGGGCCCTTCAGACCTCCGCCCTCCTTGGCGGAACGATCCTCTACCTCCGGCCCTGATTTAATATCTTGATTAGACCATAAACTCCGAGACGTCTAGCTCGTTCCCGGCTCTTGGCAGTTTCATGCATAGATGGCGCTGCTCCAGGAAAGAGGAATGAATGGATGAGTGAGAGTGAATGAATGAAGGTGAGAACAAATGCGAAATAGCTCCAATCATTAAAACTAGGGGCCGGGGCCGGCGCTGTGGCGTAGAGGGTAAAGCCACTGCCTGCCGCGCCAGCATCCCATATGGTCGCCGGTTCGAGTCCCGGCTGCCCCACTTCCGATCCAGCTCTCTGCCGTGGCCTGGGAAAGCAGTAGAAGATGGCCTAAGTTCTTGGGCCCCTACACCTGCGTGGGTAGACCTGGAAGAAGCTCCCTCCGGTCGTTGTGGCCAATTGGAAGGCCACCCCACCCCACCCCCCTGCCTCTCTTGCCCTCTGTGTGTAAGTGCCTTTCAAATAATGAAATAAATCTTAAAAAGAGAGAGAGAAAAGAAAGAGAAAAAACCACTAGAGGACAAAGTTCAGATCCTTGGCTTGGGCCCACAGCCAGTTTCTGACAGTTCCAAGAGGGAGAACTGGTGGTGCTAAGTACTTGCTGTGGTTGCCCAGAGCAATCAGAGAGAGCTTCCTGGAGGCAGAATATGGACAGTCCCAGCTCCCTGCTTACAGTAGAACTGCACAAAGCAAAGTTTGCTCAATCAGGAGGGAGTTTTGGAATCTGTTCTGAGGAACCCAAGTTCTGGTTTTCAGTACTTAGGGAGTTACAGAGTGATAAGAGGATTACTTAGCAAACTGAATTGCCTCTGAACCGCACCTCTTGGAACAGTAACTAAATAACAAAGAACTTGCTGAACCTGCTGGTAAGGGCCTGGCCTGGCCCATCACCAGGGAAGTCTCCCACTCAGTGGCTAGCTTACCTGAAAGTCCCGCACCAGGCAGCTGTCAGACAAAGTCCCCACTAAGCCTGCAGCCTTAGACCTCACTTGAAGTCCCTATAGGTTCTCTAACAAGAAGGATTCTGCCTTCTTGTTACAGAAGTGTGCCGGCCCACGGCAGGTGGTGTGGGGGTGGGGGCCTCCGGGTGAGAGCTCTCTGAATGGGAAGCTGCACCGGGCCCTCAGCTGGATTCACTCATGCTGTGCTCCCAGATGGAGTCAGCACCCCTGCACGGGCTCAGTCTTCCGAGGGCCTAAGGCCCAGGCATGGGTGCCTCTCGGCTTCGGGTTAAGACACTGTGGAAAGGCACACGTTCGTTCTTCGCTTGTCCTTGCGTATGCAGAGCTAAGAGCAGGGTTGACTCTGACAGGGCCCCACTGCCTCTGCAGGCATCTTTGAGACCCCAGAGGAAAGAAGCATTTGGGACGCGATGAGGAGATGTGACAAGGCTGCATGGGACCAGGGACCAGAGTGGAAGGACCAGAAAAGACTTTAGGATATAAACTGACACATCTGGAGCGCTGACCTGAGCCAAGCGCCGTTCTAAGTACTTTCCATGTCTTAACTCTTTTTGCTTCATAACGGCATCTATGAGTCACTCTAACTATCCCCATTTCACAGACACAGGAATGGAGGCACAATGAGGTTAAGTAACTTGACCAGGGAGGCCAACCCAATATGGGGCTTTAGCTGAGTCTTTTATTTTTATTTATTTACTTATTTTTATTCAAAAAGCAGAGAGACAGAAAGCTCTCATCAGCTGATTCACTTCCCCAATGTCCCAAACAGCTGGGACTGGGCAAGGCTGAAGCCAGGAGCCCAGAATCCAATTCCGGTCTCCTAGTGGGTGGCAGGGACCCCGCTGCTTGAGCCATGACCTACTGCCTCTCAGGGAGCATGTCAGCAGAAAGCTTGAGTTGAGGTTGGACCTGGGGCTCGAACACCTGCACTCTGATAAGGGAGGCAGGCATCCCAAGCCTCGTCTGTGCAGCAGGACCGAATGTCCACCCCTAGCTGAGCCTTTTTAAAATGAGGAAGGGGTGGATGTGAACCTTTGTGAGGGCCCGGTGCATTTCAACTGAAAGAGCTGGCAGAGAAATGAATGCATGAGTCAATAAAGGTCCAGGGGTCAGAGGAGGGAGCGCCAGGAATGTTTTGCGAGAGGTTCCAAGACCAAGTCTGAAAAGGTTGGAGCACTTGGGAAACCGGTTAGCAGTAAGCACACTTGACCAAGCTCGGTCACGTGTTCAGTCTGAGCACTGCCTCCCAGGTATTATTTACCATAACTTGCAGTGACAGAGCAGGTTCCAGGTAGACACTCCTTCCCCTCCTGGACCTTTCAAAGCCTCCGCACAGCTATTTGGGCACCCAGAGAACAAGAGCCTGTCCTGAGCATAACCCGTAGGAGCATAGCCATGGTGCTCTGGGGACTGCTAGGGGCCCTGCTCATGGTCATGGTTGGGTGGCTGTGCTTACCAGGGCTGCTTCGGCAGCGCAGACCCCAGGAGCCTCCTCTGGACAAGGGCAGCATACCCTGGCTGGGCCATGCCATGACTTTCCGGAAGAACATGCTGGAATTCCTGAAGCACATGCGGTCCAAGCACGGGGATGTGTTCACAGTGCAGCTGGGCGGCCAGTACTTCACCTTTGTCATGGACCCCCTCTCCTTCGGCCCCATCCTCAAGGATGGGCAGAGAAAACTCGACTTTGTGGAGTACGCAAAGGGCCTGGTGCTGAAGGTGTTTGGATACCAGTCGATAGAAGGGGACCACCGGATGATACACTTGGCCAGCACCAAGCACCTGATGGGACATGGCTTGGAGGAGCTCAATAAGGCCATGCTGGACAGCCTGTCACTGGTGATGCTGGGGCCTGAAGGCAGGAGCCCGGATGCCAGCCGCTGGCACGAGGATGGCCTCTTTCACTTCTGCTACGGTGTCATGTTCAAGGCTGGCTACCTGAGTTTGTTCGGTCACACCAGCGACAAGAGGCAGGACTTGCTCCAGGCCGAGGAGATATTCATCAAGTTCCGCAGGTTCGACCTACTCTTCCCCAGGTTTGTCTACTCCTTGCTGGGGCCCCGGGAGTGGCGAGAAGTGGGCCGGCTCCAGCAGCTCTTCCACGAGCTGCTGTCTGTGAAACACAACCCGGAGAAGGATGGCATGAGCAATTGGATAGGCCACATGCTTCAGTATCTCAGTGAGCAAGGGGTAGCCCCAGCTATGCAGGACAAGTTCAACTTCATGATGCTCTGGGCCTCCCAGGGGAACACAGGACCGGCCTCCTTCTGGGCTCTCATTTACCTCCTGAAGCATCCGGAAGCCATGCGGGCCGTGAAGGAGGAGGCCACCCGGGTGCTGGGTGAGCCTAGGCTGGAAGCCAAGCAGTCCTTCACCGTCCAGCTCAGTGCCTTGCAACACATCCCGGTGCTGGACAGCGTGATGGAGGAGACGCTGCGGCTGGGGGCTGCCCCCACGCTCTACAGGGTGGTACAGAAAGACGTCCTCCTGAAGATGGCCAGTGGGCAGGAGTGTCTGCTCCGCCAGGGGGACATCGTGACCCTCTTCCCCTACCTCTCAGTGCACATGGACCCTGACATCCACCCCGAGCCCACCACCTTCAAGTATGACCGATTCCTCAACCCCAATGGCAGCAGAAAAGTAGACTTCTACAAGGCAGGCCAGAAGATCCATCACTACACCATGCCCTGGGGCTCGGGCGTCTCCATCTGCCCGGGGAGGTTCTTTGCGCTCAGCGAGATGAAGCTCTTTGTCCTGCTCATGGTGCAGTACTTTGACCTGGAACTGGTGGATCCTAACACACCTGTGCCACCTATTGACCCTCGGCGCTGGGGCTTTGGCACCATGCAGCCCACCCACGATGTGCGAATCCGCTACCGCCTGAAGCCTCTGGAGTGAGCATGGCCAAGCCAGCCATGAGCCTGGCCAGAGGAGCTCCAGGTCCCACGGACCACCTTCCGCCTCCCTCGGGATCTGTGGCAACCCCTCGCGCTTCTGTCCTGCTTGTCCTCCTGGCTGTCGGGCCCCCCAGCCATCCCCTGGGTGGTCATTCTCTCTTTAAAACACCATCTTGGCCGGCGCCGCGGCTCACTAGGCTAATCCTCCGCCTTGCAGTGCTGGCACACCGGGTTCTAGTCCCGGTCGGGGCGCCAGGTTGTGTCCCGGTTGCCCCTCTTCCAGGCCAGCTCTCTGCTATGGCCAGGGAGTGCAGTGGAGGATGGCCCAAGTGCTTGGGCCCTGCACCCCATGGGAGACCAGGATAAGTACCTGGCTCCAGCCTTCGGATCAGCGCGGTGTGCTGGCTGCAGCGCGCCGGCTGCGGTGGCCATTGGAGGGTGAACCAACGGCAAAAGGAAGACCTTTCTCTCTGTCTCTCTCTCTCACTGTCCACTCTGCCTATCAAAAAAAAAAATTAAAAAAAAAAAAACCACCATCTCTCCCTCTGGGTTCTGCAGAGCCCTCTCTCCCACAAGAGGAGACGCCCAGGGAAGTGATCATACTGGTGGGAACCCAGCCTGGGTGATGACAGCTGTTTCCAAGGGCTGCAAGTGCACACACCGGTACCTGTGACTTGGCATCGGGCAGATGCTGGGGTCCACCCTCCTACACCTTTTTAATTTTGCCCCCAGCCTTTATTCCTCAGCCTCTGGAACTCACATTCTAGCACAGCGTCAGCCCATAGGAATCCGAAGGGAGCCCTGGGTTGTACTTTTTCCATTTTCTAGTAAATGCATTAAAAAAAAAAAAAGCCAAAAGAAACTGTTTGGAATTCATTTCTATAATATATTTTACCTCAAACAAAACAGTTACCTTTGGACATGTGGTTGATATCCAACACATCTTTCACACAGTAGTTTTACATCCCTCCTTTCCAAACCTGCTGTGTACTTTATCCTTGCTACAGTGAGCACCTTCCAGGCGCCCCTTAGTACTGGAGAGCACGGTCTATATTACATAACGTCCTCCTGTCCTCTCTCTGCACCTTGGCCTGGGGGTGGTTTCTGCAACCACAGCTGAGCTCAGCGCCTTCTCCCGTCACATCCCCAGTGCCCCCAGGAGAGTCTCACGTCTCTGATAGCCCACACAGAATTCAGCCACTCTCCCCTAGCTGCTACCCTGAGCCAGCCCTGTTCCTGGTTTCCTTATCTCTTTCTGCTCAGGTCAGTTCCATCCCCCAATCAGAGACACACTCACCTATCAGCTCAGTCCCCACTCCTATCAGCTCAGCCCTCTGGGAGGCCCATGAAATGTGTCCTCTTTCCCCACTCCCGTTGCCCTTCTCACCCCTGCAACCTCTGCCCTCTGCATCGCCCTCTACACTTGTGCTCTGTGTACCCTGGCACCAGAGGCCTTTGTCCAAAATCATCTCTGAGGGGCCAGCGCTATGGTGTAGCTGGGTAAAGCCGCCACCTGCAGTGCCACATGGGCGCCAGTTCGAGTCCCGGCTGCTCCACTTCTGATCCTGGCCTGGGAAAGCAGTAGAAGATGGCCCAAGTCCTTGGGCCCCTGCACCCATGTGGGAGACCTGGAAGAAGCTCCTGGCTTTGGATCAGGTCAGCTCTGGCCATTGTGGCCATTCAGGGAGTGAACCAGCGGATGGAAGACCTTTCCGTCTCTCTGCCTCTAACTCTCTGTAACTCTGCCTTTCAAATAAATAAATAAATCCTAAAAAACAAACAAAAAAAGCTCTGATTGTCACTTTTACTTTCCTGGCTCCCCAGTGCTTTCACGTATATGACATTTACTTTGGTCAGTTTGTCCCCAAATCTCCCAGGCTAGTGCAGTTGAACTTTGTGCACATTCTCCATTGAAACCATCCCTAAAGTGGAGGTGCTGCTTCTACTTCCAACCCTGGTGCCAGCTATGCCTGGACGCCTTCCTGGATTTTGCCTGTCCCATCCTCTGACAGAAATGGCCTCACTCCCCTTGGGGCCCCAGCACCGCTGGTATCACGGCACATCTGTCAGGTGTTGTTTCTCTGTCCTGTTTCCTCCTCCTGCCCCCTGCCCAAGACTGAAGTCCACGAGAGTGTGCTACCTCGATCTCCAGCTCCGTAAATGTGGATTCAATTCTAGAAATCTGACTTCTAGTCTTGGCTAATTTACTGCAATTCGTTTGCAAGGCCTCCCAGCCTCAGCTTCCTGGCTGTGAATGGAGACGATCCCCACTGTCTGACCCAGAGAGGCGAAAGGGGTGCTGGTGCCACAGCTGGCAGATGCTGAGGTCCTGGCTGGGGAGGAGGTCCTGGAAAAGGCAGGCCCAGCCAGCATGGACCCCCAGCGAGGACTACCCATGGGATTTCTCTCTGCCACTCCATCTCGCATGTCTAGCCAAGCCCTTCCTTTCTCCCAAGGCTGTCTGTGCTGCCTGGAGTTTTGCTGGGCCCAGGAGTCTATTCCAACTAGCTGTGTGGTCCTGGGTGGTGCCTGCCTTTCTTTGGGTTTAGCCACCCTCGAGTGATGCTGTCTGCATTGAGCCTGCTCAGGCCCTGCCAGATTAGGAGAAGTTAGAATAGCCCATCCCAGGAGCCAGGAACCCAGGAGAAGAGCCAAACAGAGAGCACAGAAGGAGAAGGAGGTGGGAAAGTAGGGGAGCCATTCCTACAGAAGTAATCAATGACCCCCTCCACACAGCTAAGCCCCATGCCTGGTCCACTGGATGCAGGGGAAGGAGCCAGGGCCTTCACACACCTCCATGGCCTTCCCAAACCTATTTTACAATGCCCTCTCCTCTTCCTCCAACTCAGGGGATTGTGAAACAGCAGCCTGGCCTGTGGATAGGAGAGGGCAGGACTGAAGGCCTGAACTCCCTGAATCAGGAACTAAAGAGAGGACCATGTGCAGATCTCCAAGGAACTTCATGGGCCCGGGGATCTGCTTGAGAGCCCATAGGTTATGCTTGGGACCAAGGGAAGCCTTGGTGGGTCAGGTGCGATGTGACCAAAGTGTACCATCCCACAGCCACATCATCACAACAGCAAGCAGGGAGCACCCCAGGACTGGAGTACGCAGGCAGAGTCCATTGCCCACCTTCCAGCAGGGTAGGGGAGAAGCCATGGGACCGGTGGCCTTATGCACCTGCCTATGGACTGCTGGAGACGGCCCAGGCGGAGGCCTCAGTGCATTGGGAAGACTAAGACCTCCATGGATGTATCTAGTCCCTGCCTGCCCTGACCCAGCACTTCTGCCCACCAAGTGCTTGTTTCCACATCAGAGTTTCTGCCTCTTACACCCTCCTTACACACCTCGGAGGAAAGCCAGCGAAATGTGTTCCCTCTGAGGATAGCTTATAATGAAGCAAGATCAGGAGTGCACTTGGGAAAGAAAAGAGGTATTTCTGCAGTAGGGGTAATGGCTGGGAACACTCACAGCACGCTTGACTGAGCTGAAGGTGGACAGCAGCCTGGCTCAAAGGCAAAACCATTTCTGCGGTTCCCTCTGGGTCAAGCTCTCTGTTTGCCTCTCCTCGCATACAGATCACATCCAGCCATGCACCTAGCCTCAGAGCCTTTTGCCTCAGGAGAATTCTGAGTTCAGGCAGGACCAAGGCCCAGCACGGAGATAGGATGCAGGCAGGGATGGGGAGGCTCTGCATTGGCCTGGCTGTGGAAACAGATGAGCTGCAGGATTTGGCAGCTAAGACAGTGAGAGGGAACAGCAGGTACCTCCAGCCACTCCCTTCTCTCCTCTCTGGGCACAGACTTCAGAGCACTACTTATTATTCCTCTATGTTTTCCACAGGTACACAAAGGAACAAATCAAAAACCCTCAGCACAGAGCCAGCCTCTTGTGGACGGAGTGACACACTCAGAGCAGATCCACACACACCTGCATAGTAGTGGCAAGTACATCTTGCCCTCCATACCTGTATAACCCACACAGCAACACACAGACTTCCCAGACAGATGCACACACAAACCCACCAACACCGGGGACAGGCTCTGCTGGGCATCCCTTTCTAGGCATACCTCATTCTGTCTTATCTGTGCATCAGGGGCACAAAGTCAGGAGCACTGGGTACCTAGATCCTGTTGGCACAGCTCGGGTTGTATCTCACCATCAGGTTGGCACGTGAGCAGGATGGCAGTTCCTGAACACAAGAGCAGAATGGTGACAGCAGAAGACACCGTATGGGGCCGGCACTGTGGTGCAGCGGGTTAACGCCCTGGCCTGAAGCACCAGCATCCTATACGGGCGCCAGTTCGAGACCCAGCTGCTCCACTTCTGATCCAGCTCTCTGCTATGGCGTGGGAAAGCAGTGGAAGATGGCCCAACTTCTTGAGCCCCTGCATCCACGTGGGAGTCCCGGAAGAAGCTCCTGGCTCCTGTCTTCAGATTGGCGCAGCTCCAGCTGTTGTGACCAACTGGGGAGTGAACCATCGGATAGAAGACCTCTCCCTCACTCTCTCTTTCTCTCTCTCTCTGCCTCTCCTCTCTCTGTGTGTAACTCTGCCTTTCAAATAAATAAATAAATCTAAAAAAAAAAAAAAAAAGACACCTTGCAGCTAGTTCCCAGGTAGCACCACCTTTCAAACAAACTCCAACCGTTGCCAAGGAAACATCTACTAAACCTCGGGAAAGAGTGAGCTTTCCGTCTTGCCACTACTGTAAGAAGAGGCATTCACGACCCCATTGTTCAACTCTTCCTACACACTGGTCACATCCAATGTGTGAATGAGTGTGGGAGTGGAATGTACTTCCTTAGTCCATAATCAAGTCTGTGAGCTATTACCAGGCATTCTTTGGTTTTCAATGTGATTGATAATCCCACCTAGGTCTGTGTTGCTTAAACCTGATTCGATGCATGTCCTCACCCTGTGAATACAAAATCTGGAACCCAACTCAGACAACTGACTGGTTGTTTCCTAGTTTCAATCCTCACTTTGACTCATTGCATAAACATCAACTTTAATTTTCCAAGCAGGCTGATTATGTCAGTCGAGAGACCCCACCCTCCATGTCCTCAAACAACCTACAACCTTCACATCCAGGGTTTCATTTCCCAGGAGGGCTGAGGAGTGGGGAGTCCTTCCTGGCAGTGGAAACTCAGGGGCCTTAGGAAGAGAAAACCGAAAACATCAGAGCTGAGGGAGGTGGGCTGGTGAAGGTGCAGAGGGGAAAAAGCACGCTAGGGACAGCAGGGCTTGTGGCAAGAGTGCCATGGTGAGACCATGTGAGCCCAGGGAAGAGAAGAAAGAGCAGGCAGAACACTGACTACCTGCTCGATTCTTTATGAATCATTCATTCAAAAAAACACTTAGTGAGCAGCCACTACGTTCTAAGCACTGGTGAAAACACAGGAGATACAGATTCTGTACAACGTCACACCCCTGCTCTCCTGGTGCTCACCGTCACCCAACCATCTGTGCTTCTACCCTCTACTCCACCCACATACAATGTCCTTTCCCGTGTGCCAGGCTCTGTCTTCGTGTGTAAGACAGACACGGCAAGGCACGAGCAGGCCATGCTAGGTGTGGTTCCATGAGGTAGGCAAAAGCATGAGTGCTTTAGGAGCTCAGGAAAGAGAGATGCGCACTGGGGGTCCTTGGGAAAAGTGGGAGTGGGCAAGGAGGATGCCAACCATTGGAGACATGAAGAGAAAAACACCCAGAGTGAGTATAACATTCAGGAAGCTTGAGGTTGCAAATAACAAAACAACATGACCACACACTGAGAGTTTATTGGTTCACATGACTGTCAAGTCCAGGACTGGGTGGAGCTTCAGCCATGCCTGGATTCTGAGGCTCCAGCCCAGGCCCCAGTGACTTGTGCTGCGTCCTTCAGCTTCTGAAGTTCAGCTTATGAAAGAGAGGCTCCCGGCCTCAGCTCCTCCCAGCTTCGCGTGCATGCCTCTTTTCTAGCGTGCTCTCGTCACGTGGCAGCGCACTGGCTCACATGCCATCCCCACATGAATCACTGTGGCCAGGGGAATATTAAGGCTGTGACCGGCCTGAACTCCGTGTTTGACCAGACTTGCACCCAAAGCACAGGGCAGTAGGACCCAGGAGTGATTTTCCCAAGCAGGTGGGATTTGGTTCCAGGAGAAAGGTGAGGGGATTCCTGGCTATAAATGATACTAATTACATGAGGGAACTGGAAAGAGCAAAAGTATAGAAGTAGGAACAAGCGAAAAAAGCAAGGGGTGCCTGGTGTCCAGGAGACAGGAGACGAAAAGGGAGCAGAGGAGTATAAGGCTAGGAAGAGGTCTAGGATCCTATTTTCAAAGCACTAGCCTTGATGTCAGACAAAGATTTTGGACTTGACTGTGCTGGCCTCAGGGACACCTAAAGGCTCCTGGAACAGACCCAGGTCAAGGTGTTCACCTTCCTCCTGCAGATTGTATGCATTCCCGGACTGTTCCCTGCTGACGGTCAGACTTTGCAGCCACTATCAAGGCTGTGTAGAAGGTCCTTTGGCCATTACTGTAGCTGAGTTGCAGGAAAGGGGGCAGCCTGGTGGGTGGAGAGCCTCGGGCTCCTCTTCCCCGGCAGTAGCTCAAGGAAAGTTGCTGTGGTTTGATTGTGACTTGACTCCCAATTCACGCAGACATTTAAACTCCAGAGTGTTAAGCTGATGGTACAAAGGCAGAAACTTAATCCATTGATGGTGTCTAGAAAGTGGGCTTAGTAGGAGGTCCTTAGGTCACTGGGGATATGCCTCTGGAAGGCGTTTCTTGCAAGAAAGTTGGTTATAAGACCTGAGTGGGGCCCAGCCTCTCGTATGCTTCCTGTTTCACCATGGGGTCTTTCCTCTGCTAGCCCTCCACATCCCATCATCACTGCCTGCATCAGAGGCCAAAGCCAGATCTTGAACTTGAACTTCCAAACTGTGAGCTAAATAAACTTTTTTCTCTTTATAGACTTAGTTTTCTCAGGTGTTTCATTGTAATAATGAGAAACTGACTAACACAAGCATGTTCCCTCTTCCACCCACACACTCCATAAGCACATTCTGAAAGTCTTCTGGCAGGTGCCGCGCCTCAATAGGCTAATCCTCTGCCTGCAGCGCCGGCACCCCAGGTTCTAGTCCTGGTCGGGGCGCCGGATTCTGTCCCAGTTGCTCCTCTTCCAGTCCAGCTCTCTGCTGTGGCCCGGGAGTGCAGTGGAGCACCCGCATGGGAGACCAGGAGAAGCACCTGGCTCCTGGCTTTGGATCAGCGTGGTGCACCGGCCACAGCACAATGGCCGCAGCGGCCATTGTGGGGGTGAACCAACGGAAAAGGAAGAGCTTTCTCTCTATCTCTCTCTCTCACTGTCCACTCTGCCTGTCAAAAAAAAAAAAAAAAAAAGAAGAAGAAAGTCTTCTCTATACCACACAGGTCCTATGTCAGGAGCCTGGATACCACAGTGAGCTAGCTGCACAGCAAGATCCTTGCCCTGGGGAGCTCTCTTTCAACAGTGGGGCTTGAGTTGGTAACACTAAGCACAACAAACAGGCGGAACACACGGCAGGTTAGGAAGCCATCAGCGCTGTTGAAAAAGTTAAAGTGAAGCAGAGGAGGGGAGATCAGGAGCATCATAGGTGGACAGGTGTTGTTGAGTAGGGTGGCCAGGGGACAGCTGATTGAGAAGGTGACCTTTGATCCAAGACCTGAGGCGGAGAGGGAGTGAGCCACGTGGACACCTCGAGGAGGACTGGTCCAGGAAGAGGGCACAGCTGGAATCCCCCCAGGAGTGTGCCTGGAATGTTTGGGAGACAGCAGGGGAGGTCCAGGTGGGGAGCAGATTGCATCAGCCTGGAAGAGTCACGGCAGGGGCTTGGGTGGCCACCGTGCAGGAGGTGGGGGTGAACGCCCAAGGTGCCGTGGCCACTCTGGCTGCTGGGTGCAGCAGGAGAGCAAACAAAAGGGAGCACCCAGGTCAGCTGGGAAAGCATTACAGCAGTGCAGGGAAGGGAGCGTGGAGACGGGGGAAGGAGAGGATAAAGGCAGCAGGGAGCAAAGTTGCTGATGGCTGAGAACTGATAGCCACACCCTGGGTTTACGATATGGTCGCTGGGTACCACCTGCTCTCACCAGCCACTCAGCCTTAATTACTCCCCACGACGCTCCTTATCAGGGGGAGCCCTCAGCCTGCCTCTTCCCAAGGTCACTCATGCCAGTCATTTCTTCATGGGTGGTAACCCTGCTGCTCTCAGAACAGTTGGACAGCGAAGCCTGGGCAGTACCCGGTGCCAGGTGCCGTCCCAGCACGGTAGCCAGGAAGGTCTTCAGGTATTGGCGGAAGCGGCGACTGGAGAAGGCATAGAGGACAGGGGTGAAGCAGCAGTGGAGGAAGGCAATGCTCTCTGTCACCTGCAGTGCATAGTCCAGGTGCTGGCTGACCTGGCAGTCCCCGAAGACTTGCAGGTCCATCAGCGAGTGCAGAAACAAGGTGAGGTTGTACGGGAACCAGAACACGAAGAAGGCTACCACCAGCGCTGCAGCTATCCTCAGTGCCCGGCCTCGGCCCGGGGGCCTCAGCCTGACCAGCACACAGCCGATGCGGGAATAGAAGAAGATCATGGCAATCAGTGGGAGGAGGAACCCCACGAGGTTCTGCTGGAAGCGGAGGAAGAGCTTCCAAATGGCCCCGTGGCCGCCGAACTCTGCGTAGCAGTTCCACACGCCCTTGGGGTTTTCATTGATCTGTACAAAGACCATGTCAGGGATGGAGATGGCCACGGCCACGGTCCACACCAGGGCAGCGAGGAGCAGGCTTGCGGTCCGGGTCCTCAGCCTGTGGTGGGGCTGAGCATGGACGATCTCCAGGTACTTGTCCAGGCTCATGCAGCTGATGAAAAAGATGCCACTGTAAAAGTTGATGGTATAGAGAGTGCTCATCATTTTGCACAAGAAACTCCCGAAGACCCAATGCCAGGCCACAGAGATGGCCCAGAAGGGCAGTGTCACCACAAACAGGAGGTTCGAGATGGCCAGGTTCAGCAGATAGATCTCGGTCATGCGCCTGCGAGGCACGTGACGCAGCAAGACCACGAGAAGCAGCAGGTTCCCGCCCAGCCCCAGCACGAAGAGCAGGCTGTAGAAGACGGGCAGGAAGACCTTGCCAAAGGACAGCACGGCGTCCTTCCTGCAGAGCATGAAGGCCACGTCGTCCAGGTAGTCGTAGTCATAGAAGGAGCTGCTGTTCTCAGGGCCAGCACCCTCCTTGGTGAGTGGCAGAGAGGAGGCGGTGGTGGCCATGCTGGGGAGACGCACCCGGTCCTGAATTTCTGCAGGGGTGTCAGAGGAAAAATACGGTCAAATCTTACATTCTCGACCGCCCTGCATGTCCGGGAGACCCTTCCAGTTGGCTCGTAGAAACACAAGCCTGGCTCTGCCGCTTCCCAGTTGTGTCGCCTGTGGCAAGTGACTCGGCCTTCAGATGTTCTCAGCTACTTTCAGCTCTTTCACGTTATTTTTCCCTCTCATCACTTAAAACAGACTTCTAATGCCTTTCAGATTCTTTAT